GTCAATGTCTTCTTGAGACTAAACTACGACTTGGTTTCTCAAGGAATTAAAACTTTTCTAACAGAACTAATGTGTTTTATAAATGCTTCTAAAAAGCTATATCACAATTGTGATGTTTACAGAAAGATTAAAGCACAATGATAAAATAGAGAATTTGATTGCTCTTGTTTGATATGCTCGTGTGATTATTTTGAATATTTCTATTGTATGTGCTCACATTTTGATCCATCTTCATAGTCTCTTTATATAGAGGAAGTGCATTGAATCATTGGAGACATAAGAAATTATCTTTGGAAGGTTGATAAAATGTTGTTAATGCACTTTCCAAAAATACAGATCTTGTCTTGTTTCAGCCGTTATTCTTTGATTTGTAATGATTGAATTGCAACACATCAAAACTTTGCTTCTTTAAAATCTGATAAAAATCAGAATATTAGCATTGAGACTTTAGATCATCAGAGTTTCTTGAGATTCATATGATCAAAACTTGGATGAGACAGACACGTTGAAGCTTCTTTGTACTTTCAGAATATTCACTTATTAGAGTATTGCTTGAGCTTAAATGTTGAGTCTTTAGAACTTCAAAATAGATGAGTGTGTTGAGACTTTAGATCATTTGAGTATTGCTTCATCAAATTTTAGTTTATAGCTTTGGTGCTTCAAAAGTTATAACATCAGAACTTCTTCTATTGAGCGTGGTACTTTAATTTAGTTTGTGCAGATATTCTTATCAAATCTTCTTAGCGCAAATAGTTCGCCAACTTCTATGCTTCTTTATCAGAATTTCTCTGCATATTTAAATAATTTATTAGAGAGCATAATTGTTCTTTATATATATCATGTATTTGTTATCATCAAAACTATTACTAAGATGTAGAACCAAACTATGTTCTAACTAGAGAAAAAGTGATTTGGTCCTTGAGAGAATAGAGAGAAAATTGAGATGTATTTTTGGGAGTGAGTGAAGTTATGAGAGAAATTTTGATTTTTTGAATATGAGCACTCTCCAATTGGGCCTTGGATTGGAATTTGGGTTAGGCCTTGTTTTATCAGTGTCAGCAAATTTAATACCCAATGTAAGTACAAAATGCCACGTCATCATCGATGTGGAATCTCGACTCGAGCTAAACATAAAAATCGAATCTTGCGAAATTTGTGATATGATGCTGAAAAAACAGACTCAATTGGATAAACGATGAGAATGATATGAATTTTTGAAGATGCACTGACACTGTCTCAAACAAACTTATTTCATTTTCTGCTTTTTTCATTGTTCAGTCTGGAAAGAATCCCGCGAATGAAAATCCTCCGGTCAAAATTCGAACTCGGGGTCTGAAGTAAATTCGGAGCTAATAAATTTTTTGAAAATATGCCGAAAGAACCGTCACGATACGATAAAAATCAAAGAAGTTATGTTTTTTACAATATCGGAAAACGGTGAATGAAAACTCCGGTTCAACACAGTAAATTCCTCTAGCAATCCAGAATTTCAGGGAGCTTCTACAAAGAATTAGCCTTCGGCCCGAACATACGAATCAAAGATAAAACCAAGACATATTTTTCGCCCAAATAACGGCTCAAAAAATTCGATCAAGTCGAAAGTTATGAATTTTTGAACATCCACAAAATAACGGTTCAACATATTATTTTCACTATTTTTTCACTGTTTAGCTTCAAAGTACTCGTGCGTTCGGAGATCTTCCTCAATGAATTGGCCTTCGAGCCGAACATGAAAGTTGGAGGAAATAACAAGACGGTTCAAATGCTCTAAGAGGAACTCAAAGATGATACTCAAGTCAAAATTTTATGAATTTTTAAGCATCTGAAAACCAGAGAAACGATAAATCCACTATATACCGCAATTCAAGTATTTTGCGCTTTAAAAAATCTTCCTCACAAAACTAGCCTTCAAAATGAACAAATAAAATGAAGAAGACCTCAAGATGGTTCTAATGACCAAAGAATCATCTCCGAACCACATTATGAACCCGAGTTGTGAATATTTAAATTTGAAACACACCGTACTGAATTTCTGTCTGCACTGTCTCAAATCAAATGAGACGCTTAACTTTCTGCACGATTCAGAGCATGTTGAAATTCATAAGAGATTGAAATGATGAAAAATTTCTTGGTTGTTGATTGTATAGCTTGGAAACCATATGGATCGCATTAAAATGCAGAAAACCCTGAGTTCTGCTTCACATTGTTACTTAATGGAACAATCAATTTTCACAACCCATTTTTGCAGAGAGATACCTTGATTCCATGAGTATAAATCGAATGACATGCATGTATGCACATGGTAATGAAATATAAGCCAATTTGGTCTAAAAACAAAGAGGGCGAATTTTAGGGTACAACACCCAACAATCATGACAGTCTAGGCCATTTCGTTGGGCCTTCCTTGAGGTAGCGCTGGGCTGTATCGTGAATGACGGTGGGCCAGTCACAGGCCCAGTCCAGAACATTAACTAATAAATCAATCTAATATATCATACTAATTAAAATATAGGGTCATACTAACCAGTGCCCCCGAGACACATATCTTTTTAAAAAACAATTTATTTTTTTAATCTTTTAAAAAATATTCAATTTACCTTTTTAATCTTTTAACGAGTGTCCGAGAACACTAATTATCATTTTCCTAAAACATATGTATGAGATTTGATTGAATTTGAACTGGTTTTAAAATTTAATTCAAAACTGGATTCGATACAAGTGGTTTTAAAATTTCTAACACATCCAAAACTATTCAATTTTTTAAAATCAATTTATAATTGTTTTTTTTGGGAAAAGAGAGGGCCTAAGCCCAAAGGAAAGATCAAACTACACAAAAACACCCCTAGGAGTGTGTAACCCTAAAACATCATCATCTAAAAGAGAATATAGAATATACGAAGCTTTGTCATGAATCTAAAATCCATCATGGGAACTACCAATGTTAGCCATGATATCAACGCATCTATTCGATTCTCTAAAGTTATGGGAAACAATCACAATATAATGATCGTTCATAATGTGACAAATGTCACAGAGCAAAACTTTACAACCCGTCTTTCTAATGTTGCCATCTTGAATAGCTTTGACAACAATATGATAATCTATATTAATCTCAACTCTCCTTAACCTTAAGGATTTTGTAACTTTGAGACCTTCTAGCACCCCCTAGAATCGACTTGTAGAATATTACACGAACCCATATTCTTTGAGAAACCTTTAATCCCATGATGGTCTCTAATAAGCCATCCACATCCAGAAACTCGATTCTCTTTCCTAGCTCCATCAGTATTAAGCTTAACCATATCCGGGGTTGGAGGCTTCCATCCCACCAATCTACTGCCAGTATTTGCTCCTACCATATTTTTAAAAATTGCACAAGCATTATCATACTCCTTATTTATCCTCATAACATGAACAATCGAATCCGGAGGTTGTTCAAAGTTTTCAATACGTTCCTCCTTGTTCCTCCACGACCATAACGTATGACAAGTAATAGCCCGAGTACTGTTCCAATTTATATGCATTCCTCCATAATTCTTGACATTCATCCGGACCCATGATTTGTGCTCTGCAGAAAAAATTCACCCATTATGTGACTAGGCACAATACTCTTCCATATATGCATGCAATTGTTACAATCAGGAATGGCATGCAACATCGATTCGCAAGCATTCCCACAAATATTGCACGCGACACTACCCAGACCTCATCTACTTTTTCTAAGATTAGTTAGCAGTCGGTCATGATAAAGAAGCCAAATGAAGCTTCTAAATCTCTCAGGGGCTGCAAGTTTCCAAATCTGATGCCAAACAACATCACCCTCCTGATCCACATTGTGCCCAGAAACTGATGAATAAACCTCCTTCATAGAAAATTCATCAATGCTAGTACCTGCAAAACAAAAAACATCAGTAAATTATCCATCCTTTAGAGGAACGCATGCTTGCATTTTGTCAATGTAACGCTTTGGCAACCAATCAAGCAGAATATCAAAGTTCCAATCACCATGCTCATCTACTAAGTCACAAACTTTTGCCCCACAAAAATTGCTCGGGATTATCACATCTTCGTCTTGCAGGCAATAGCTTATTCCCAACCAGTTGTTTCCCAAGCCCTAATTTTTAAAATTTAAATTTAAACACACTTATAATATAAACATAAGCAACAATTATATTTTATTATTGTAAAAAATAATTAATTCAATATAAATTTTATTTAAGACAATTTGTATACAAATTGATATAATTAACAATCGCTATTATTTTTAGTTAGAGTTTGACAAAACTTAACATAATGAAAAATAAAAGAAACGAAATGGAAAAAAGAACAAAGGGTTAAACAAAAACTAACAGTAACTAAATTGTTGCGCGTGAGTTGAAAGTTTTAAATTTAATTTTTAGATCAATTTTGTTTTGTTTTGGATAAGTTGTTGAATTGACTCATTGTTATATCAAATTTTTTTTCGTATACAAAACAAATAAATATAATATTATTGATTGATCGAGATTTTAAGATTAAATCTTGTTTTAATTTAAAAAAGATTTAACTCATAATAATGGAGAATTAAGATATAAATACAAAAATTATCTAAATAAAATTTAAGTAAATCATCCTTATTTTAAGTTTATCGCTAATTATAATTTATTATTATTTGCGTTTCCGCTATTAAATGATTACAACTAAAATCAATTCGTTTAAACAGATTGATCGAGATTTTTGTATCAATCTTTTTAAAATTTTAAAAAATATTTAACCTATAATATATATATATATATATATATATATATATATATATATATATATATATATATATATATATATATATATATGATAAGATATTATATTATTTAGTTTTTAATTTTAAATCTTAATGAACACTATAAATACACATTTGATAAACTCTTAAAATCCACAACACCTAATCAACACATTACTGAGAAAGAAAGAAATCAATCTCTATGGAAAACAACAATGCATTGTTTCAGAATTCAGAAGTCATGATGAAAAGGAAAGTTATGGCTATTGAGAAGATCAATGCATATATACAAAAATTAGATACGATGGAGAAGAAATTCAACCCATTGCCTCATTTTACTTTGCATAATGTGTTATCACAAATTTCTCCACAATTTTATTCTAAAGATGAGTTAACACAAATAGAGAAAATCAATCAAATTCCGTGTCAAGAAGAGAATTTCTCTCTTATCTCACAAAGTAAAGTGGAAAGAGTAGAAGTCAACAACAAAAAAAGGTATCGCTCAAGTAATGAAGATATCATATCCGATGGAGAAAGAAAAGTGAAATTAAAGTCCGCAATTAGGAAGCCAATAATTCGTAGGGAAGAAACATTGGTATCACCACCACCAGATTTGCCTAGTCATGTTAATAACATGATCAAAGTATTGAATGACACTGATATTAAATATATCATGTATAAGGAATTGTTTAAGTATAATCTCAACTATAACCTCAAGCGTCTTTCAATGCCTTGCAAAAATTAAGTTTGATTTTCTTACGGAAATAGAAAAGGCAACATTAGAAACAAGGGATCAAGAAGGAAAACCAATCGGTTTAAAAGTGACCGTGTTAGATCCTTATTTTAATGAATTCTCATTATTTTTGAAAAAGTGGAATATGAAGACTACTAGTATTTACAATCTTGTTCAATATTGGACACTAATTTTATTAAAGAATAATTTTAAAGAGAATCAAATTATTGATATTTGGTCATTTAGGGTTAACAACAAGTTGTACCTTTTACTGAATACTAATGAGTTGCAAGAAGTAGAAAATAAAAGGCTTTCGGAAATGGAAGAAGAACCAAGAAGTCAATGATTACTAACTCCAAAGCAAATGAGTTTGAGTTTCAAGGAGGTGATCAATATGGGTTTTGCTAATTCTCCTATGCACGTCAGCTTGGAGTTTTATCAAAGTTCTAATTTGTTAGTTTAAGACTAGTATGGTTGCTATCAATGTTTCTTTTATCAGCTTATATGTTTATAAATTTCATATTTTTTATAGAGTAAATTTTCTGATGTTGAGTGTAATGAAAAAAAAATTGTGAACATGCCCGTCTTTGAAACATGATATAGAACAATTTAAATACATGTTGTCAAAATTTTGAATTCCGCTAAATCACACTTTTAGTTTTAAAATACTGATATGACATAATTGAATATTATAACTCTATTAAATAATAATGTCAGACTAATTTACATCAATGCCCACTATCTTTAATCTCATAATTTAATATACTTAAATTTAAACAAAATACATTAAACTCTTTGGCTTGTTGGTTTCTTTCATGGTGTTAGGACCTACTTCATCAAGTGGTCTTGAGTTCAACTCCCAAATCAGGCACATGGTTAATCAGGCTCTGATACCATGATCGTGATTCTAAGGCCAATAGGGTTATTTTTTCCCTTAAAACTCATGAAAATAATCATTATTTTTTGTTCTTTTTTTTATATTGGTTTTATATGAAGAGAAAATTAAAAGAAATAACATTATAAGAGCAAACAATAATTGACATATATAATTTATAAATACATTGAAATTTATGGTAGCAATTGGGCTGTTTCTGAGTATCTTCCTACACCATTTAAATGTTTCTTTCTCTAAATTATCTCCCTACACCATTTGATTGTTTCTTTCTCTAAATCATCTCCCTACACCATAACTATGAGTTTCATGTTAGTGTTACAACTTTCAATTACATTCCTGAGAATTCCAAGAGCTTACTGGTACAACAGTGTTGATGAGGCCCATTTTCTCTGCTTCAACAACAGAATAAAACCTTGTAAAAAACCACATTTCGCACGCTTTTTTCAGACCTACCTGTATTAAAAATCACACTTTCTATTGTCTCAATTGACAACATCAAAATGTTAAAAGCAAAAGAAAATATTACACTTAATTTAGTCCTCACCAAACGCCGACATGATAGAACTTCCGTAACCATCATCAAAACTCCCAACCTTTATAGATACAAGGACAGGATGTTACAAAGGAAGGGTAAGCCTATTTTTGGTCATATTAACTGCAATCTAATGTATGTATCTGAATATGTATATACCTTTCCAGTGAGAATGATGACACCAACAGAAGGATCATCTCTAGCATCATTGAAAGCGCAAATAAGCTCCTTAACCGTGTGAGGTCGAAACACATTCCTTCTCTCTGGCCTATTAATACTAATCTGCAACATTAAACCTAACATTGTCAAAATTGAAGAGAGAGATAGAGAAAATAGGGTAAGCACATTTCATCAATCCTGAAGCTTAAACTCTAAATTATACAAGTGCTTAAGTTATTTATGGACATTTCATAACTAGTTTCAATAAATTCTTTCAAACAATCTAACAAGTGATTATTCTAATAGATACCAAACACACTTTAGTATAAGAGTAACTAAATTCAATATTTACTAACAAAAACCAAATAAAAAAGAACAACATTCGAGAAACTGCTAACTAACCTTTGCTATTCCTTCACCATCGGATTTCTCGTAAACAATGCCAGTGAAATCCTTTCCTCCATCATCAGAAGCAATAATCTTCCAAACAACTTCGTTCTAGGGAACATTTCCATGAACTTGTTGGTAGCTATGATTTTTTGTATCTATAATTAATTTTCTAACTTTGAAACAAACCCTTAAAATATTTTTAAATTGAAATTATATTTTCAAATCCTAGAATTATTATTTCAAAATGTATTTTATTATTTATTTTGTTGATCATTTTGTAAATAAAAGAGATTATAGGGTTTTCATTAGACTGACAAAAATATGTAAAATAAGGATTATATAATAAAGTACAATTATTAGATAATATACAAAATTAAATTATTTTTATTAATATATAATATTAAATAATAATAATAATAATCATAATAATAATAATAATAATAATAATATTATAATAATAATAATAATAATAATAATAATAATAATAATAATAATAATAATAATAATAATAATAATAATAATATCTAATATATTCTCTCAAACTAATATTTCCGTATCAAAAAGTAATCAATGGAGTCAAACTATTTCAATAGTAGTGGATGCCATAATACAATACTCAGCTTTTATAGAAAGAATCAAATATTATATCTTGTTTCTTACTTTTAGAGTTTCCAAGAAAGATCTGTGGAGTCACAAGTCCAATCAACGTCACAATAAGCACATAACTCCTATGATGATGAAGGAAATAAAAGACTTTGAAACTAGGTTCCTCAAAGATAACGAAGAATGCAAAGAACTATTGGAACAAGATTGATTTGTACCACATCCCTAATATTTTGACAATAACAAAGTATTTAAAAAACAATTGGATGTACTAATGTGTGTTTAAGTGTGTAGGTACATAGACTAACATTCTAATTGAAAGTCAGTTCTGATACTACACTAAACAGTCAAGGAAAAGCTTAAAGTTGTAGATTCTGAAGAAGTCAACTCTGAAGACCAAAGTCTGAAGAAGATAACCTATGATGGTTCATAACCTAAAGATCCCAGACTCTAATCAAGTCAACATCTAAAGATCAAGTCAACCTCTAAAGACTCAGAGTATGAAGGATCAGAAGCTAAGACATAGACTCAGAAGAATTTGAAACTAAGACTCAGACTCTGAAGGATCAAAACCTGAAGTCATTTAAAGCTCAAGAACTGAGTTTCTAACAAGAAGCTATTAGACTCTAAGGTCAATTTGTCTTCTTCTAGTCAGGTGAAGACTTAGCATAAAGTTTTAGAAGCTTGAAGAATTGCAACTGATAATTCCATTTATAGAAAAAGAGTTTCTAATGGCATTGCAACGATATTAACCATATCAGGAAGCTTTGCAACATATCTGATATTGCTTCTCTCAAGGACTCGCTTGTGCAAGATGTCTTCTCCAACGTTTCTTTGACATTTTTCTATAAATGGAGTTGAAGACTTGGAGAAAAATATACAACATTGCGTCTTGACAAACAAAGAGAAGTTACTCTGTCAAAACAAATAGCACAAGCTTAACTTAGGATTTCTTAACTCTTATATATTATAGAAATTCCTAAGTCTTAGAGTCTGTTTGTATTGTAATCTCTCTACACCTCTGATTGTATATTGAGTGTAGTTTATCATTCTCTTCACTATTTGTTATAGAGTTAGAAGTCTCTTACTTGTGTGCTTGAGCATTAGAGTCTCTTACTTGTGTGCTTGAGCATTGGAGTCTCTTACTTGTGTGCTTCAGATACTAGAAGTGTCTTGCTTGTGTTCTTGAGCATTGAAGTCCCTTACTTATATTTTTGTGCATTGGAAGTCTCTTGCGTGTGAACTTGAACAATTTCTAATTAGATTTGGTTATAGTGAAAATCCCTTGGAAGGGCAAGGGAACTAGAATACTCCTAATTTGTAAGAGGAACCAGGATAATTGCTTGTGGTATTTCTTATTATCTTCTTTATTTATGATTAACTCTATTTTACTGCTATCATAATAAGACTCCGATTTAGATCCTATCCTTGTGATCAGAATCTGATAAGAGTTTTGTAAGTGAAAAACGATAAAAAGTTAACACAATTCAACCCTTATTATTGTGTTTTTCTCACCTTCAGTTGGCATCAGAGCATAATCTGTGCTTAATACTTAATAGTGGTACAGAAAAGATCATGAGAGAAAAACTACATAACTGAATTTGAATGTGAAACCTCTGGCCCTGATCATTATGTCGTGCCCTTTGATTATAGTGCATCTGAATGGAATACCTTGTGGATGCATTTCTCTCATAGATATTTTGTATGATGTCAAAACTAGGGATTGGTTTAACTTTTATGTGCATTGAACGATATCTCTAAGTATTTGTGTGCACCCATACATTAAAAGTCATTAGGAATCATAAGAAGCATATATAACAAGTTTGGTTTAGTTATCCATTGGTCTAATGCTTGAAAATTGAGTTTTTGCACAAAATTTACATGCATGTGTTAACACATACGATCTTCGTGTTGGCACATGTATTACAGTTTTTAAGCATATAAGTTTCTGGAAATATGTGTTGACTCATCATTTTGTTCGTGTCGACACATATCCTAAAAAGTACTTTATGTGTCGACACATGTGATTTCGTGTCGCCTCATGTGTTGTTGTTTTCAAGCCTGTAATTCTCTAGAATCTTGTGTCGACTCATAACCAGCTATGCGTTGACACATGTGTTAATGTGTGCCATGTATGTGTCAACACATGACTTACTTGTGTCGACATATATTGTACCAAACTTCAAAAATCAGTTTCCAAGTCCTTTCTTTTTCCTCCAAGTCTCTCTCTCTCTCTCTCTCTCTCTCTCTCTCTCTCTCTCTCTCTCTCTCTCTATCTATCTATCTATCTCTATCTCTCTCTCTCTCTCTCTCTGATACACACACACACACACACACACACACACACACACACACACACACACACACACACACACACACACACACACACACACACACACACACACACACACACACACACACACACACACACAC